AAGCAGTCGTATCAGCCTAGAGCAGTAAACGACTTAAAGCCACTTTCGACTTTCCTCATATTCACTGGATCATTAATGTTGACGTTTATTAGCATCGGAAGCATGTATTGCTTTTTACAGTTTCTCTTTACACTTTCTATATTGTTCACAGGTGTTCGCTTAATATATTTAACCAGTGTTTCATTACTTACTTAATGGTTTTTACCGAAATTTTTTTGTTGGTCTGTCTTTTTTAAAAATCTCACATCTGCCAATGAATGGTAGAAATTTAATCAAAAACTCAAGAGCGAGCATGAACCACCTTTGGTAATTTATTACTTTTAACTTTGAACACTTGAAAAAGCATATCACTTTTGTTCAAAAAACTTCAAATTACAACAAGGTAATCAATGAAAAACTTACGGTGTACACATTTTAGTCTTAATCCGATTACTTCGCCACACCTTAAGCAACGAGAACAGTAATAGGTTATATCCCCAGTAGATTGTTTCCGGTTTGTTTCAGTGTTGCGTGGATATAGAATGCTGAAAAATGCCGTTATTTCTTTCTTTGTTTTTAAAATAAAAATCGGCGAAGTTTTCAAAAGCGGTAGACGTCTATATCATTGTTGTATATGGCCTTAAAAAGGTATTTTTGTCCTACCGCCTGTAGAATCACATGCCTGTTAAAGTCAAGTGAGCATTTTTATATATACTCCAGGCAATTTGTTCCATATTCATTCGCCAAATGATTTATACATTAAGTTTATAGTTTTCGATAGACGTACGGTAAGAAGACCATCTTCATAAGGGTAAGGGGCATACCTGCTTTGTACACTAAGTTTACAGTTTTGGATAGAAGCACGATAAGAACACACCTTTTATGAAGGTAAAGAGCATACATTGGGATAAATATTCATAATTTACTAGTTTTCAACAGCTTGAAAGTAAAATTCTGCATTTCGTCAGGGCGATCGAAGTTTCTTGAAGTAAATTAGATTTGTTTTTCGACAAGCCGGAGAGGCATTTTACTTACAATACAGGAGCGCCCAATCTGAAATAACGTGGTTGGGTTCTCTGATTGTTTTTAGCACTGTTACCGATCAGCAAATTCAAAAAGCTGCACAATAAAAATGAGATGATATTGACAACCTGGATATGTATTTTAGTTCAACTGCCAAACAGACGAGGTCTCATTCTCTACATGAGAAAATAGTATATTGTGTGCATACCGTTCCATCCCGTTTAATCCATGCTGCAGTAAAATCGTCAGCATTTTATTTTAATCATCTTTATTTTTCGTAGAAGCGTAATGTGAATGAATTAAAATCTATTGAATCAATTCATAAATTAGCAATAAATTGTATCTTATTCGTTTAAAATTATTGAGCAGGTTTAAACTTGGGGTAATTGCTAGAATTATATTACACAAACTGCAGGCACAATAAAACTTTCTTTTTTGAGATAAGATACAATTTTGACATCGCTGAATTCCAGAACGTTCGCGGAGGGTATCGCTTTCTCGTACCATAAATTAGAATAAAATTAATGACGAAGTAGAGATGCGGGACTTTCTTTTTACCAGCAGGTGTTTGTTACTTCACTCTGCTCGCTAATCTAAACCACACGGTTAAACAACTCTATTAAGATCGCTGTATAGATTATCGCGGCTCTGAGAAAACCCTATAGAAACTGACACAAACCCCAACTAAAAGCTGTCTCTGCCATCACAGGAATTGACACAAATCTCAATTAAGAATTGGCTTTAATCATCATTGAAATAGACAAATTTCAACTAAGGAGAGGCTTCTGTCATCATTAGAAACTGACAAAAACCTCACTAAGGAAAGGCTTCTGTCATCATTAGAAACTGACAAAAACCTCACTAAGGAAGGGCTTCTGCCATCATAGAAATCGACACAAATCTCAACTACGGCGAGACATTTGTCATAGAAACTGACTCAAATCTCAACTAAGGCGAGAAATTGATACAATTCTCAACTAAGGCGAGACCTCTGTCATCATAAAAATTGACACAAATTTCAACTGAGAGGCTTCTTCATCACAAGAATTGACACAAAAATATCACCAAGAAGAGACTTCTGTCATCATAGAAATTGACACAAATCTAAGGAGATGTTTCTTCTGTAGCGACACATATTTCGACATATCCAGCGGAGCAGCGATCTTGTAAGAAAGATAAGATGAACGCATCTTGTGCAAGGAATAACTGTATACGACACCCATACAGAACAACGATCGTAGTTTCATCGATAGTTTACTTTCTATTTGTCCATCAGGGAAACGATGTTTCAGCAGTCAATAAAACGATAGAATTGTCATTCAATATAATTGTGGCAATTATGAAAATAAAATTAGTGCTATTTGTTACCACATTCTAATCATTTTTCATATCTAATAGGCTATTAACCCAAATTACATACAGGTATGAAAAATGTGGCACAACTACGAAACAGCAATTTTAGGACTTGCACACCAAATCCTAGATTTTTGAAGATTTTGCTTCACAAAGAGCACAATTATGCTTGAGTCAAATATCATCTCCCATTCTCAACATAAGGGTACATAACTTAATGTAGTTTGCATTAGAGTAAATGTTCGACGGTATAATAAGCATTTCTCAAGTTATTTCTACGTTGGGCAGCCAAGTTATATCAATCTTCCATATATGAACAAAAAGGTCACATTCCTTGAACATAGAGGACAAGAATCTATCTAGCATCATCAGGGCCGAATCAAGGTCTTTGGGGGTCCTGGGCACCGACAACATAGGGGCCCATAGCAACCCAGTCTTGTCCGTATATATGCTTACAGTACAATTAAGAACAGTGAAATCAGACGATAATAAACGGGTCCCTTAGCCTCAGGGGCCCTGGGCACGTTGCCTGCTTTGCTCGCTTAATCCGGCCCAGACCACGATTTATAATTACAGGGAAGAGAATATTACGAAAGATATATAGTAATCAAAAACTATAAAAATCTAAACATTTAAACTTTAAAGTTAAAAATTTATAGTATAGATAACTTAAGTCGTCCCTGATCTTGCCATACAACCATTCTCCATCCATTGAATTTAAGCCTCCATTTAGTTCTTGCAGAAAAATATCTTTAGATCTTTGTTTATATATAATAAGCACGGGATTTTCATCACCTACCCTTAATTTACACAAAAGTCTCCCATTCCATGTGAAAACGATATATATTTAACCTTATTTGTCCAACATTTACGAAATTCGCCCCAAGTCAACTATAGATTATTGTTTTGTTTTGGAATCTATTATCTGTCATCTCTAGTAATTGGAACCAGTACTGCATCATACTACCTCCCATGACATTCCACCTAACTCACTGCAGACAAAGATACTTGGCGTGTTTATCATAATACGAATAAAATATTTACAAAAATTACATATGCACAGCTTCTGTGCAAAAACTCCAAACATCTGAACCATTATTAAAACTCGGCGCTATTTTCGTGGACAATATTTGGGATAAGGTTTTCGTTGACAGTTTACCAAAACTACTTAATCTAGTAAACATGCAATAAAGTTCCTGTGCTGCTTGTGCTACAAGAGTCCATATCACCACCACCACGCACACCACAAATATATAGAAGAGAATACAACCAAGAGATGGTATTTCTATCCTGCTATCGCCAAAAAGCCCAGTTCCTCCCAAATATCTTCCTTAACAAAAAACTATAATTGTAATCCTCTCCATTATTATCGTTACTTTCCTTTACTTCTTTTACAGTTCTTTGAGGATGAAAAGCAATTCCTGCGAATAAAACTGAGTGATTTGCATACAACAGTGCGATTAACTGAACACATTCTGATGTAGCAACGTATGTATTTTATATAATCTAAAAAAATGAAAATGAAATGGGTGATAAAATACAACCCTTCCTTACCCCAACAGTTAAATCTTTCTTTGAAGCTATGTGGAGTTTTTCACATACATTTGGACATTAGCAGAAATGGCTTTTAATTTTGCAGTCATTTGACTGCATATATTTTCATCTACTAATGAATATCACATTTTGTTGATTAGGAAAAATTATGAAAAAGCGTTTGGTGATAGTAATCAATATATATATATATATATATATATATATATATATATATATATATATATATATATATATATATATATATATATATATATATATATATATATATATATACATACATACATACATACATACATACATACATACATACATACATACATACATACATACATACATACATACATACATACATACATACATACATACATACATTGGAGAGCTGTAATTATAATGCTCTAACCTGTATGATAGTATTATTTGTATTAAACAATTAAATTTTGCCTACTATTATCACGCATTTTTCTATAGAATCCAGGTTTACCACTTCCTTTTCTGTTTGGTATATATTTATAATTCTTTGTAATCAAAAACCTGTACACCATGTTTTCTTTAATAGGAATCTGGAACGAATTTGCACATATACGAGAATTAATCACTAGGTCGTCAAGCGAGTGTGCCAGCTAAACACGAGTTCATATAACACTGATTCAGTGTCATCATTTTTTGGTGATGCGTGCTTAGTCGTGACGGGATATGGGATGGTAGGTGAAGGCAGGCGATGGGTGCGATTTACTCACCTACCTGGGTTCGAAACTCCGTAGAGTACGAATTATAATTCCGTAACCTGTATGATAGTATTATTTGTATTAAATTATTAAATTCTGCTTACTATTATCACGAATTCTTCTATAAAATCCACGGATAGCATATAGGATTTTTAAGGTAGCTGTAACAATTTTTCAGTAATATCGATACGATTTGTGCAGTGTGGCAATTTATAGTGATGTCTACCATCATGCCGCAGAAATGAAACATGATGTCCCACCCAGTCACGTTATCCTGACACCAGGACGACCAGTCCTAACACTAACCTCTTAATGCTGAGCGTCAAGCGAGGAAGCTGTTTGTTAGTACCATTTAAGTCTTTGGTATGACTCGACCGGGGATAGAACCCATGACCTCCCACATCTGAGGCGGACGCTCTAACAACTCGGCCACTGCCTCGGTTTTTAAATGCTCAGACAAGGATTTTTTAGAACATTTCAGACTGCGTTGTCTGAATATCTAAATTAAAATATGAAATATATGTATTTTAAAAAAAAAATTAAGATCATATGTACTTTGTTGAAAAATATACAGACACATCTACAGCTGCAGGACCGCTCCGGTGGTCTAAGTGGTTAGAGCGTTTGACTCGGATGCGGGAGGTCGCGGGTTCAAGTCCCGACCGAGTCATGCCAAAGATTTATAAGAATGATAATAGCAACTGCATCGCTTGCTGCTCAGCATTAAGAGGTTAGTGTATAATTTTAAGAATGGTCGGTCTGTAGTCAGGATAATGGGACTGGGTGGGACATCATGTTACATGTCTGCTGAATGATGGCCAGTGCTAGAAATCACTATAAAGTGCCACATTGCAGAATTTATAGCGATATGACTGAAAAACTGTTAAACTACGTTAAACATGGAAATCACACGCAGATTCGACAGCTACAGAATGTGTCTGGATTTTTTATTATTAAATGCATAAAAAGCAATGAAAGAATAAATTGTTTCATTCATATATATATATATATATATATATATATATATATATATATATATATATATATATATATATATATATATATATATATATATATATATATATATATATATAACAATTTAAACGAATATCACAATTCCATAGCGATTTCAAGATACAGTTCGCAGAAAACACATTTATTTACTCATTACTTCTTCAAAGGGGCCTCGATTGGCCGAGTGGTCTGAAGCGCTGACCGTTTTGGATCACTGCCATCTCATCTCTGTCTGCATGAGTTCGAGTCCAGACTCGGCTAATGTGGGTAAGTGAGAAAGTCTGCCAGTAGCTTCTCGTGGGTCGGTGGTTCTTCCTGGGGTTTTCCAGGTTTCTTCGTCCACCATGAATACTGGGCGCCATGTATAGCCTTTCTGGTGCTGAAAAATGGCGTTAAATCCTAAAACAACAACAACAACAACAATAATTACTTCTTCAAAACAGAAGAATCTCGTGCTGAAAAATGGCGTTAAATCCTAAAACAACAACAACAATAATTACTTCTTCAAAACAGAAGAATGCATTATAGTTCACGAGCAAGGTAGAGGCATTATTTACATCTTGGAACATACTCTGTTAATCTTATCTCGTATGCATTAATTATTAGTGTATACTTGTATATTGGTGATTGATTAAACAATTATCGATATTACAACAGTCATCCATAACAGACAGGCTGTGCAGCCGATATACATCATGGGCAGTTAATCGATGAAGATTTTCGAAGGTCTTCGTTGCTTTTACGTTGAATTTTCAATTTTCTTTCACATGACTATTGATGTAATCATTCAAATTGAAGAAAAATGTTCTGTTTCATTCTTTAATAAAATAAGGACTTTGCAACAATGTTGTCTAATTAACAAACTATCCTACAATTCCTAGCACCACGATAAACCAAGGTCACAACTTAATGCAATAATCCCAACATTTCGAGTTGGAGAGAAAGCATTGGTTTTACACAAGTCGATATCTCATTCAGTCTGTAATTTTCATTGTAAAAGAAATGAATGGAGATAGATATGAGAAAAAATAACTTACAGTATTTATCGAGATTTAAAATCAAAACGAGCTGCATTTCTTTAATATTTACACACGCTTTTCAGTTTTATATATATATATATATATATATATATATATATATATATATATATATATATATATATATATATATATATGTGTGTGTGTGTGTGTGTGTGTGTGTGTGTGTGTATTTAAAAGCTTCGTTAGACAATAAATAATCTATATACAATATAAAAAGCGAGATAACGGTGTTTATATGATTTGTATGAAATACAAACAGCGAGATATTACTGTAGCACAATTTGTTGACTTTCTCAACGCAGAGTTCTAACAAAAATTGAAAAAAAAAATGTAAATCAGATGCCATTAGTAAGAAGGAATCAAAATAGTAGTAGGGGGAGGGACCAGATGCATCGTTGGGCGCACGAGATAGCATGTAAACTGGCTGGAGTGGTTTCGTGTACCCTGTGCCCTGCTCGTCACGTAGGCTTAAGCAAACCGACGAAAAGGTTAGTAGCATAGCACGTGCTTTGTGAAAAGCCAACCTGAAAGAGAAGGTTTGTAAAAATTGTGGAGGTCATGTTCTCAGTGGGACTGAGTGTCGATGAGATTATTTGTCTTGATATTGTTGTGAGTTTCGTTGTCTGTCGGCTGTTTCAACTGAAGAGAACCACGTAAATTGGTAGTCAGAGTTATCGTTAGTTTTACGTCTGGTCAAGTATTTTTGTCACAAACGAGAATATCCAAAATATATACTGGAAAACATTAAATACAAATGTAAAATGTATTCGTCGACTAACAGACGCCGATTTTTAATTGTCTCTTTAATTTCTTTGGTTTATGAAAATGTCTTTAACAAAGCGCCTTGTAAAGTGTAGAAATGAAGCAAAATGGTGCAGGCAGATTTAGCTTAGGTTGACAAGGATGCTGGCATTTTTAATTCGATAAATAATTCGTCAAGAAGAAGATAACAATTTATTACTCGTGTGTTATAACATTGTAGGTAATACTGTGAGATAGACACAGTCTTTTAAGACATTAACAATTTATTACTCGTGTGTTATAACAATGTAGATAATACTGTGAGATAGATACAGTCATTTAAGACATTAACAACTTACTATTATTGATGTAGGCCCCAGTACGCACAAGGTGTTCAGTGAGACTCGGTCAAAACCTTTATTTTAATGCACAGGGTATTTGTTGTTCTGCGTTGTTCATTTTATAATAACAAAGACGGTAAAACTTCTCGTTTCACATTTCTTTCCAAATATTCTTTGAAATATTTCATCCATCTATATCAAAATTATTTAATGAGTTCTTTCTGCGTTATTAAACATTTAAGTTCTGTGGTCAGAACTTTCACCCTTGTTAGTTTTCTTTCCCTGAGTTAGAAGAAACTTCAAGAAGTATTTATATGTGTATATCTGTGTGTGCGTGTGTGTTTGCGTGCGAATTGAAAATAAACATTTCTTCACAATATGCTGGCAAAATAAATCAATGCATATAATCTAGCTACTGGTGGCGCTCACCAGTTATTATGTACTTTTGAGAGAGTGATGTATGTAAGGTGAAGTTGTTTGCATTTTAAACATGCACAGTGGAGAGAATGTTGGCATACCTATATACTACTTTCATGTAATGTGGATGAAATTTCTTTGGATATTGTACTTTTGGAAATTTAAAATGAGCTTAGGACACTGCGAACTACAATGACTGCTCCCTTGTGCTCCACAAATCAACCAAAATTTGTCTAAAGTACACTATTCTTGGCAGCTATTAAAATATCGAAAATGAATTTTGCCAAACTAGATAATACCAGCTTCTAAAAGTGCAATGACTGAATTACCCAAATACATAAAATGTAAAAAAAAGTTACGGTTCTTTGTTTTAACAATTTACCTCTGACGTTCGAGAAGTGAAAATGAGAAAGTAGAGCTAGCACTTTTTTGAAAGGGCACATCTGCAGTAAGGTCAAGTGTCACTTCATACCTATTACACCATGCAATACTACATCAAATAAAGGGATTACAGTTCTTTGAAAATACTAGATGATACAAAGTCTTTACAAACCCAGTATAACTTAATGAGGACCCCGGGGAAACTCTTTTCTTAAAATTTTAACCTATGTCCAAACAACACTGTAGTTCCGCAACTGTATAAACACGTGGACATATCCCGCGATGTAACAAGCGTGACTCATGCAAACTTTGAAAATGACCAGAGTATCTATCTATCTACAAATCTATTAACATTTTCTAAATCTTCTTATCCTTCAATTTTTACTATAAGAATAACCGGTATAGAACCAAATATCCGGGATATAATCTGCGTTACATATGTACACAAAGTAAAAATAGATGTCGCTTTGGCTTGTAGACTTTTAGGGAATTATACAACGTTTTCAGTTTCCGCAACTAGTCTATACAAGCTGGTTGTATTTATAGTTTTAGCACATGTGAAGATAGAAATGTAGAGGTTTACAAACGCAACGTTTTTGTGTTTATTTGTTTGTCGTAACTATGTTTTGTATTTGCCTTTGAAAAAGACTCATTAAGAGTCGAAAGCGCTTAGGCTAGTTAGTTGCTAGTTTCGTACTGTTCGTCGTCAGTTTATTGCATCTATTTTAATTAATCCCTGACAAACGTGATCCCTTGGTGGATCCAGTACGCTTGAGAGGGTTGTTATTCGCCATATGATTTGTATTCTTTATATATATATATATATATATATATATATATATATATATATATATATATATATATATATATATATATATATATATATATGTGTGTGTGTGTGTGTGTGTGTGTGTGTGTGTGTGTGTGTATTTAAAAGCTTCGTTAGACAATAAATAATCTATATACAATATAAAAAGCGAGATAACGGTGTTTATATGATTTGTATGAAATACAAACAGCGAGATATTACTGTAGCACAATTTGTTGACTTTCTCAACGCAGAGTTCTAACAAAAATTGAAAAAAAAATGTAAATCAGATGCCATTAGTAAGAAGGAATCAAAATAGTAGTAGGGGGAGGGACCAGATGCATCGTTGGGCGCACGAGATAGCATGTAAACAGGCTGGAGTGGTTTCGTGTACCCTGTGCCCTGCTCGTCACGTAGGCTTAAGCAAACCGACGAAAAGGTTAGTAGCATAGCACGTGCTTTGTGAAAAGCCAACCTGAAAGAGAAGGTTTGTAAAAATTGTGGAGGTCATGTTCTCAGTGGGACTGAGTGTCGATGAGATTATTTGTCTTGATATTGTTGTGAGTTTCGTTGTCTGTCGGCTGTTTCAACTGAAGAGAACCACGTAAATTGGTAGTCAGAGTTATCGTTAGTTTTACGTCTGGTCAAGTATTTTTGTCACAAACGAGAATATCCAAAATATATACTGGAAAACATTAAATACAAATGTAAAATGTATTCGTCGACTAACAGACGCCGATTTTTAATTGTCTCTTTAATTTCTTTGGTTTATGAAAATGTCTTTAACAAAGCGCCTTGTAAAGTGTAGAAATGAAGCAAAATGGTGCAGGCAGATTTAGCTTAGGTTGACAAGGATGCTGGCATTTTTAATTCGATAAATAATTCGTCAAGAAGAAGATAACAATTTATTACTCGTGTGTTATAACAT